AATTAATAATAGAAATGAGTTTTATAAAGTGAACTTTAAGTTAGATATGTGCAAACATTAAAATTTGTTGTCTCAGGTTTTCTACTGTGAACCATAAATTTTTGTTTTTTAACTCTCCGGACATATCCTAAAAAATGCCAAATAATTTTCTCTGCGGCGTTTTTGCTACTTTTATCAGTAATTTGGAAAAAAATAATACCAATTAGAAACTCGAAATATCACAATATATTTATATTTGAAAATAGTACGAAACGTAATAAGGGTAAAAAGACAGTGAGAACTTTATATTTTATTGTTTACTGAGAAAATGCCACAACCCCGGATTGGGAATCGCCGAGATAACGGTAGAGGAGGTGCTGGTAATAGTGGCGGAGGTAGTAATATGCGAGATGGTGGGCGAAGCAGAGGTGGTGGAGGTGGTGGCAGAGGACGCGATGATGGTATACGTTCCGGGCGTGTAGAGAAGCGGTTTGATGATCGTGGTCGTCGGGGTGGCACTGTAGGAGGTGGTAGCAACAGCAACAATGATTTTGCCGGTGAGTTGACTACATGTTATTGTTTGTTTTTTAAGCCACTATTAGTTTTTGTTATGTATTAAGACCAACAAGATTTGGCTGATGAAATCTTTACAAAATTCAAAATTATAATTTTTATAAAATTTTGAAAAAAAAAAGAATACTCAATATACATAAAATAAACAATGTAACAACTCTTTAAATTGATGTATGCTTAATTATTTTAAAAAAATATCTGGTATTACTCCTAAAATTATAACTTTTTTTTTTAGGACTACGCACCATAAATTGGTCAGACATGCGCCTGCCGCCCTTCCAGAAAAACTTCTACCAAGAACACTCAAAAACCCGCAATCGTCCTCCACAAGAAGTAGAAAGATATCGCGCCGCTCATCAGATAACAGTTCGTGGTCCAGCACCCAATCCCATACAGTACTTCGACGAAGCTTGCTTCCCCGATTATTGCCTACACGAAATTAGACATCAGCGATATACGGAACCAACGCCAATACAAGCACAATCATGGCCAATCGCAATGAGCGGGAGCAATCTCGTCGGTATCGCTAAGACTGGTTCTGGAAAAACTCTTGCTTTCATTCTACCCGCTATAGTACACATAAATAATCAAACGCCACTGCAACGCGGTGATGGACCTATCGCGTTAGTTTTGGCACCAACGCGAGAATTGGCACAGCAGATACAAACCGTGGCAAATGATTTTGGCTCGAGTGTTTATGTGCGTAACACTTGTATATTTGGCGGTACACCAAAGGGGAAACAAGCAAATGATTTAGAGCGCGGTGTTGAAATTGTAATTGCTACGCCCGGTAGATTGCTAGATTTTCTATCAAATGGCGTAACAAATTTGCGTCGCTGCACTTATCTGGTATTAGATGAAGCAGATCGAATGTTGGATATGGGATTTGAGCCGCAAATACGAAAAATTCTCGGACAAATAAGGCCCGATAGACAGATACTTATGTGGAGTGCAACATGGCCAAAAGAGGTGCGACAACTTGCTGAAGACTTCCTCGGATCATATATACAGGTAAGTACATACATAGTTATATATGCCAATTGAAGAAAACCGCTAGAATTTATTTTATTTTATTCTACGTGTATTTTAGGTCAACATAGGCTCATTGGAGTTATCTGCCAATCACAATATACGACAATATGTGGACGTATGCAATGAGCATGATAAAGGTGCAAAATTAAAAGATTTACTCTCTCACATATATGATCAGTCGCACTCGCCGGGTAAAATTATAATTTTTGTTGCAACGAAGAAAAAAGTTGATGAACTATCGCGCTTTATCAATGGGTTCGGTGTACGTGTCGGCTCCATACATGGCGATAAATCGCAGATCGATCGTGACAATGTCTTGGCAGAGTTTCGTAGCGGTCGTGCAAATATCTTGGTGGCAACCGATGTAGCCGCGCGAGGTTTGGATGTGGACGGCATCAAGTATGTCATCAACTTTGATTTTCCACAATCGTCCGAAGACTATATCCATCGAATAGGTCGTACCGGACGCAAACATTCCACGGGTACATCATATGCATTTTTCACACGAAAGAACGCCAAATGTGCTCGAGCCTTGATTGATATACTGCGTGAGGCCAATCAAAATGTCAATCCCGAATTAGAGTATATAGCGCGAAGTGCTGGCTCAAGTGGTGGTCGTAGTCGTGGTGGACGTGGCGGAAATGGTAATAGTGGTAGCAGCAGCATGGGATATAAGCGGCGTGGTGGTGGAAACGTATTTAGCTCTGGCGGCGGCATGAGTGGAAATTCTGGTTCAGGCTCGGCGTCTGGCTACGGCAATGGCTATCGTGGTGGAAATGTCGGGGGGTATAGTAATAATAGCACTGCTAGTGGTAACTATTCGAATGGCGGTTTGAGATCGCGTAACTACAATTCACGGCATTAAATGCAGGATGAACTCGGCCAGCAAGCTAAGAAGCTTTGTTTCGAATTAAATGAATATAAACATTTAAAGCATGAATTTTCCATAATATCGTTTTCGAATTTCGCAACGTTTCATTAAGCAAAGAATTTTTGGAATTGGCATATAAGGTTACATGGTGGAAGTCAGTTAAAACCTTAACTTTGGATGAAATGCTGCTATGCATTGAATGAGTGCTCATGGCGCATTGTACATATATACCTTGCCAGAGTCCCCCAACTTTGATCATAAGGAAAATTAATTTTCGAATTGATAAAATTTTGCACACATACATTGACCGAGTGAGTGAAGGTTAATTTTATTGCGGTAAATATTTGGCATTCACATAAGGCAAACAGAAGTAAATGAAAATACTGCTTTGTATAAAAAAAAAACAAGAGATGTGGATGGATCAATCAATGTGTACAATCTCATTTTAAATACATATGTATGTACATATACATATCAGTATGAACTGTAATTATACTAAACAATTATTAAAAAATGAATTGATGAATCAATATAAAGTTATAACAGCAAAATCAAGACAGAAAAGAGAATAAAATAAAGTTTTATTATTTTTATTATTATTTCAAAGAAATTTGTTTTATTTTTTATACAATATATATATATCTATGTATGTAAGTATATATATAGATAGTACATTTATATTGTATATAAATTTAAGTATTTGATTAGAAAAAATTCTGCATGCATTTCTATTGCACGCTTTTTTATTCGTGTTTGTGTATGTTTTCTCTTTACAAATTTAGTACTAAAGTGTATTATATGAATGTATGCAGGTTTGCTTTAAGTATGTACTAGTTTGTATGTTTTGATTTACATAGATTTAAAAATACATATAATTTATAAGTTATATTTGTTTTAATTTATAAAATGATGAATTTGTGCACTGTTTTTTTACTTCGCCTTGGTTTTTGTCCTCGTCTCATTGACCCTGCTCCTGTTGAGCTCGGCGTTGTGCTAAAATGGGGGAAAAGGAAAAAAATATAATCAGAAGTGGAATATACTACATACATATAATTAATTTTTAAAGAAATTATATCTAAAAGAGCTAGATTATTTTCAAAGTTGCAGAACGTATGTAGTGACTCTCTCCGAGTTTATATAAGTCTTGTGGCCATCTAACCGTAAGTTTAGGATGTAAGACAACAAGTTATCTCAACGGACACCGCTCTTCATAGCGAGGACCTTTTCCTAACTAATATCTGGAAACATTTTAACCTCGTAAACGAATATACAATTTATTTCCGTCTGACCCGTGCTACACTTTGATTAATTGCTAATCTGTATTTTAAAATATGAACTAATTTTTGTTTATACTTATGAATATGTTAACACCTTAAAGCATAACTTTCTGTATTACAGATTTAAATTACATTAATCACCTTTATCCTTATGCTTGCGTTCCTTATTTGCTTTGTTGGCCATTTTCGCACCACCGGAATTACATCTTTTCGTAGTTTTGCGTATTGGTTCACAGCTGGAGTCCGAATTGGCATCGGTAGCGTCAGTATTAACAGGCAAATTGGCTTTTGCGGCTGCTGTTTTCAATTTATCCAATCTAGTCATTTGGCCGTTAGTACATTCTGACCAGGCACCCTTTTCGTAGCGGCATGCTGTGAATGAAAGAAGCAAAATGGAAAATAGTAATGAGAATGTAAGCTTCGAGTAAGAAAAAAAATTAAAAAAAAAAAACATTAATGAAATGAAGGATGCATAATAAAATGTACATAAATTCATTCATATACGTTTTAATCAGTAATTGGTATATCAGTTGTTGTTGTTGTAATCGCAAATATGATAAATTACAATACAAATTAATTTGTGGAGAAATTTCGCGAGAGGGACAGTTCTTGGCCGAATGAAAAATCTGGGTTGTTCCGGTATAAAAACCCGTCTGCCGCGGGAATCAATGGATTTTAGTTGCCTCTTACGACAGGCATACCTTACCGCTGGTAAGTCCTCCCGCAGGAGTTACATCTGTAGTATACACCAGCAAATAAACTAAAGAAAAGAAGAGTTTTTTGAACCTGAACAAACCAAATACCTCTCATAAAAATTCATCGATCGTTCAGAGGCGGCTAAGAATAAACTGAAGGCTGCTACTTTTGCTGGAAAACCATCAAGGCACATATAACGCCTTGGAGGAGGATTTCGGCGAAAAATCATTCTTTTGGTATTAAAGTGCCAATTATGTATGTACAAATGACAGTTAAAGCGAGTGCAAAATTAAATATAAATTCTGGGTTGGAGCTAGCTAGCAAGTAATTTCATACATAACTCATTCCATCGTAATTTAGGCATATGCTCAGAGGATATTAGTTTCCATCCGAGCGATTAAATAAAACTTGTTAGAGGCAAACAAACCAGAAAAAAAAAATTTAGTTAGAAATTAAAAGCCATATTTGCCGCTATACCATCACGAAAAGCTTTATATATTATTTAAAAAAATTTAACACTTTTATTTATTTTTATTTTAAATTTTTTTGTTCGTATTCACTTGCTGTTTTGAAAAACCATTAATCGCATTAGAGTGCCGCTGCTGAGCCATTTCAAAATAAAAAGGACCTTCTGGGCGTATGAGTGATAAACAGAGTCATAAATAAATAATGCATATAAATATAAAGCAAATATGTATTTTTTTTCTGGTTGGAATGTTAAAGTGTGCAATTTATACGCAAAAAAGAACAAACACAATTTTTTCGCAGCAAATTTCGGTTATTCAAATTGCATTTTTAGTAAGTAACGCAGGAAATGTGGGGGAGATTGCATTGAAAATATTGTGAATAAGAAAAAAATGTCACTCATACGCCATGGGACCCCGCCAAAGTATTTACGAACGCCGCTTTTTGTTTGAAAATTCTAATTAAAATATTAAAATCCGCTCGAGTGGCACGCATGAAAGTGAAAAAGCTGCACAATCTCCATTTTATTCACATTTGCTTATGTATTGTATGTACGAGTATGTACATGTATGTATGTATGTCTGGTATGCATGTGGTTGCTGTTGACATTTTTTAAGTAGACTGTCAGCAATTTCTGATTTCTGACTACTGACTGTTGGCTCCCGAACAGTTTAAAGCTTCTTGTTTTCTTTATTTTTATGCGTTTTTATGTTTGTATGTGTGTGTGTGTGTGCGCACGCGGTTTTTATGCGGCTATTTTGAATTTTAATTTCGCTTTGTGTTGTGAGAAGCTTATATTCATGCGCGCCATTACATACATACATACACACATACATATATACATACATAACTATATACTAGATCCATTTAACTTACGCTCAGTCGTATGCAGAATTACCCATACACCCACACAGACATGAGCATAAAAGTATTAAAGGAAACATATTTTTTCTGCAAAACTTTTGATTGAAGAAGGAACTTGATTTTTGGGGTATGCTATTCTGTTCACCTAACGGCGGCATTTTTGATACAAACAATCTGATGTTTCATTCAATGTATAGAGGACCGTAGCCTTTTTATGAAATTTTCCATCATTAAATCATAAAGTGACTGCGGTGTGCCTTCAGTAGCTTCACGAATTCCATCTTCGTTGTCTTGAATCGACCTTCGCATGTTGGCGTAGACTTTACCGCTCACGTGGCCCCAAAGCAAGCAGACGCAAGTTGTTACATCACGAGATCTTAGTGGTCAATTGAAACCATTTCTACAAGAATTAACACGACCCGGTGACTTTACCATTAAAACAACGATAGTTACGTTGCTTTCCTGTGGCACGTAGCACCGTTTCGTTGAATGAAACGTTGCCAAGATCCATATTATCCAATTGTGGTCATAAAAGATCATTTAATCGTCTGTTCATAGCGCAATCTGTTGAATTCGCAACTGTTGCTCAAGTCTCTTTTTGGAAAAAGTAAGGTTCAATGACTCCGCCGGATCATAAACGGCACCAAACAGTTACACGTTGAGGATAGCGAGGCTTTTTAATAGTAAATCTTGAGATTTCCGAGCCACAGATCCGACAATTTTACTTATCAACGTAGCTAATGAGGTAGAAATGGGTCTCATCAGTCAAGATGATTATACGATGAAATTCCGATTCGTTTTCATGCATTTGGAGGACCCAATCAGCGAAGACACAACGTTGTTGATGATCGGCCGCCTTGAGTTGACAATTTTAGTTTTACGAATCGTCTGAATTTTAATAATCTCAATACGTTGTTACAGTTTCAAAAGAGAAATTTACCGTAATAGTAGGCTATTCAATGTAACATTTCTCATTTGAAAGCGTGTACCTTAATACATGATTCAGGGGATCCAAGGATTGGTGAATGTCATCGAGTAATGATCGTTATTTTTCTACGATCTACGTTTCTTCCTACGATAAGCTTCTCTCTCTCTCTCTCTCTCTCTCTCTCTCTATGCAATGCACAATGTCTTATTTGTAGGTCAAACAAAGTGATGGCAACTTGAGCTTCAAGCATAAATTGAAAATATTTGAAATGAAACCACGACTGTCTACACTCCGGGCGTGAGTGTAACGTTTGTACCTCTGACAGAATGCGAAAGAAGGCCATTCCTATGCTGTCTCTATTAAGAAGCATAATGTCATACATTCAAAGTAGATAGAGTAGAGACCACAGCTAGGACGTTACCCTAAACAATAACAATTCTTAACGATATTTTTTAACACAATAAAGCTCTTCGACTATCCTATTGGGAATGACGTTCTGGGTGCCAGAAACAACGCCAATTGCAGATGAGAAACTTGAACTTATCTGTGATGCCACTTGCAGTTCAAACACATTTAGGTAGACCTATAGTCCAATTCCGTGTGGGTGTATAAGTTTTACTGATATACCAATCGCAGACGCAACGGCGTAAAAGCAGCTCCTTCTCGTGCTGTCGACTGCTGCGGTAGAATGTACGAAGAGATGGTGTGTGTCGATCCATTTTCTAAAGAGGGGTTTCCAAGATATGACGCACAGTGAATACACGTATTTGGCAAGCTTCGTTACGATATTTAAAGAGCTCAGCCGATAATCTATTGCCTCCTGCCACGTTTTTGTTTTTGGTTGGTATACACACATTATTTCGAAGTACGCAATTGGGAAAACGGTTTTGCCTTCTTTCGATTTTTAACGGATTTTTCACCGCAATGCCGTAAGTAGCAATCAGCACACTCTACACAATAGATCTCAGATCAGCTTTTTGGATTCTAGACATGTGAACATGGTCTGGTGTTGAAGTCTGTTGGCCGGCTACACAAGCTCTTTGTACTCATGTGTCTAGGTCTTTTCGTTTTTTCTGGCCGCAAGTTGGTCTCGCTTCCCTCAGAACCCTCGATATCTTGCCTGTTTGGGTATCCAATCACGGCCGGAGGCTATCTACAGGATTTGCGGGAAAATTATAAGACGCGCTCCTCAAGTCAGCAGAGAAGCTCGGTGATAAAGCGCCAATTAATATTAACAGTCCAACCTACACTAGTTGAGCCCTTCCTTACTGATTCAGCTCAAATTTGCATGTGTTTGTGTCTACCAGCACGCTTGCTCTAATTAAATTGACTATGCTAACGGTTAGCGCAAGACTCGCTTATGCCAGTGCATATGCATGTGTGTATGTGTGCGACCGCATTAACTCAATGCCTCAATGCACTTGCCACTTTACTGCTTTTGCTCACTTTGCCACGCGCGATGACACACTTACTTACATCCATATACGCTTATGTACGTGTGTGTGTGTGTGTGTATGTGTGCGGTAAACTAGCGTGCCTTGCAGGCGGTGGAAGGCTGTCGCATATTTGTGTATAACTTTCGTATGTATGTGTGTGCATCAACTGTAACTTTCACTTTTTTCTGCTGTGCTCCCCAATTAAAATTGTAAAATTGTATTTCATTTACATACGAGTACATACATACATACAAACATACATTTCTTCTTGAATTAAATTTTTTTTTCGCTTTTGCCACACATACAAAGCCGTTCTGATAATTTACTCTCATGTAATTGCGTAGTAGACGTGCTTGATGCAGCGGAAGCTCGAGAAAACCAAAATTTTTACTCTTCATATTACCGTTATGTGAAATATTGCTATTGTTGTTGTTGCCGCTGCTAGCAAGCAAGTAGGTAAATTTATAGCACCGAAGCTCAGTTTATTTTCTTTATTTCATAATAAAAGAGACGAATGAAAAAATGGCGCATTTCCGTTAGATTCCATTTATTGTGGCATTTCTTTGAATGGAAAGTTTACTTTAAAGCGGATGCTGGAGGTAACCGTAAAAAGCGAATGTATTTTCAAGCGACATTTTCATTTCAAGCGCTTACATAATTACATATATATATATTTAAATAAGCATTTGATGGCGCAGAACTTGCATTTAGCTTAAATTAAGAAATGAAATACCTTATTTGACCCGAAATAAAAAAGTAAATAAAATATGTATGCCTAAAATAAACAGCCAATAAATAAAATACTTAAACAAAAAGAATTTTTTTTACATAAGTAAATAATAATTAAATTTTATTATCAAAAGGCGTGCTCTGTTGAGAAAGTAAATAAGCAGAATTGTCGATTTTGGAGGGCAGATCAGCCAGAAGCATCGCAAGAGCCACCAATGCATCCAGAAGAAGTCACAATTTGGTGCGGTTTATGT